CAACGTGTTAACAAGGCCCATCAGCTGAGACTTAAAGCCTGACTTTTTATCTTTACAGTATGATGGGAAAGACTGCCCTCTCTTGGTAAAGAATATCAGTTTCTGATATTCATTATAACGGATCAAGTTACACCTCAAAGGCCATAGCTTAATTTGGTCAAGAATGAATGTCAAAGCATCAAACATATATTACTTCACAAAATATCCACAATGTGAAACATGAGTAACTTTTCTTGATAGCTAAAATATTGGGAATTCGAAATTATTTTTATTGATTCACTAGGACTCTCAATACTGAGTTTGGACACTTGATGTGTCAGAAACTGCGGCGCCCAAACGAGGAAACTTACCCTGTCTCAGATATGGTTCATTCTATTATGCTTATGGAAGAGGCTCCAGTGTTGGCAACACCACCTAGAGTGACGTTCTCGGATTCACTAAGTCGAGGTGCGATACCAGGAAGTCGGAAGCTGGCCTACATTAAACCAATTTTTAAAGGAGGTCGACGGTGCGAACCTTGAAGTTGAAGATCGGTGGCTCTTCTCTCTATACCTTCAAAAATTATGTAGTCCTCGACATGCGATGGTATGCAGGACTATTTATTATCCTTAAACTTCTCCCCTCAACAGCATGGTTTCAGGAAGTGTATAATCAACCTGCTGACTGCCATGGACAGATTGACAAGCATCCTTGATCGTAAGGGGAAGTTTGACGTCATTTACCTTGATTTCTCAAAAGTTTTTGTTAGGGTCGACCATATATGTATTATTAATAAGCTCAAACAATTGGGTACAAAACGACCTCTAGTTGACTGGCTCGTTTCATGTCTAGAAAATCGACATTCTAAGGTGAGGGTTAATTTCACTTTCTCTCAGGCTGTGGAATGTTCTAGTGGGGTTCCCCAGGGCTCAGTAATAGGGCCTCTTTTTTTCTTGATTTACATAAACGATCTCCTACATCAGGTATCGTGGTATTTACTACTTTTTGCTGATAATGTAAGACTCTGGTGAGAAGTTTAAAACCAAGATGATGAACTGGCACATCAGGAGGATCTGACTCGACTTCAAAGTTGTGCAGACAACAACGGACTTACGTTTGACACTTTCCAGTGTAAAGTAGTCCTACCGTGATATGTTTCCGACTATGAATACAACCTAGATACCTCATATCTTCCTGAAACTACGCTGTTGGGGGGGGGTAGAAGTTTAAGGATAATAAATAGTCCTGCATACCATCGCATGTCGAGGACTACATAATTTTTGAAGGTATAGAGAGAAGAGCCATCGATCTTCAACTTCAAGGTTCGCACCGTCGACCTCCTTTAAAAATTGGTTTAATGTAGGCCAGCTTCCGACTTCCTGGTATCGCACCTCGACTTAGTGAATCCGAGAACGTCACTCTAGGTGGTGTTGCCAACACTGGAGCCGCTTCCATCAACATTATAGGGTGAACCGTATCCGAGTCCGGAAAAGTGTCTTTTCTTATGTGCTGCAGTTTCCGGAGCACCAAGTCAACGCTCAGATTCACTTAGGAAAGTCCTTTGCATTTGCAGATGAAGCTGTCATCAGTACAGTTGACGTGGCTTGGTCTAACTATCTGTAAGTATTGTTCAGTCAAACGTTTGGAGGCATCACCTTTCTTATTGGTCGGGCCTTTAGGAATTAGCCGTTGGGAAACTCCAGGTTTGGCTTGTCGAAGAGAAGCTGTCTAAATGTATAAGCCCCTCGGATCGGAGACAAATTTATCGATAAGCTTTATCTAGTAATCAAGCCTGACCTCGCTAGCGCATATGTTTTTCATAAGTTTTAATTGCTTGTACATGCTGTTGTTATCATTTCGTTTATATTCCGCCCAACAGTGTCTTTCGAGGCCTAGCAAATGAAGAGTGAGGTTCTTGATGATTGTAGGTTGCTTTTAGCTTTTGGGGACCGTTTGAGGAACTGACTACTTTGTTGCACACAAGAGAGTGTGCAGTAAGAAGTCCCAGTGACCATCCACGTCAAGTTGAAAGTGAACATCCCAATCCATCTGTTGTAAATAATCCTGCAAAGCCAATACATTCAACCGCTTGAAATACCAGCGCCTGTTGTTGTTGGGATATCTTCGCTCAGTTTTGCTGAAAAAACTGGGGGCTATAACAGCGTGATCGCTGTTTCCCTGGAGAGCCAGGACTGAGAGGTTGTTGACCAATAAATTTTTTTCGTTAATACCCAGTCTAAGCGAGACGGTATCTGGCTGTTTCTCCAACGAGTTGCCGACTTCGTATCTTCGAATAATCTCAGATCCTAAATGAAGAACCGAACTTCAGTTTATTTTTCACCTCCAATATACGTAATTTCTGCGAAATTGACTCTAGGAAGATTGAATTGCATCACAATCAGGATACGAATGAATCCTAGACGCGTAGAGGGGGATAATCCTCTCAGTATACGATTGTTCTACTTGACGTCAGCAGTGGGCTTCCTGCAGATGACCTCCCTCGAGGTGGTGTGCAACCTTACTGGTCACCATATGGATTGATCAAGATTGACAAACGCTTGGTTGTGAATTTGGTGTACCTCCAGACATGATCGTGTGTAAGAAGCTACTCCACCCCAATCCCTGTCTTTCTGTCGTTGTGAAACAAAGGCATCCTATGTACTGCTAGCCCCTGGCCCGTAAACTGTGAAGATATCAAAGTTTCAGATATTCCTATTAGCTGAGCATTATTGGCATTACTAAGTTCACGTAGCTCGTCCATTTTATTTGGTGAACTCGCGGCGTTCATGTATAAGCAGTTTATACTCCCAATTTGGAACGCGTGAGCTTCTCCGTCCTGTTTATCTGTTTGAGCCTTACGTGAATGGACAGGTATCCTACCTATACAAGGTTTTCAAGTTGGCAGCCACCGTCCTTTATACGTTTTTTTATGACCAAGGCAATCAGCAAGTGGAATTGTCTGCTCCAACTTGCCTTCGTGCTTGATCCTGGCGTCATGTGGCCTATTTTGATGCATATGGATTCCAGTTGGCGACCGACGTCTTTTGGCACAAAATGCTTCCAAAGTTGCAGCCGCCATATGGGAGGACAGGAAAGTTATCTTCATTAGGTGGGATCTAGAATCTTCGTCCTTCTTGGCTAGTTTCATCACATGTTGAGTCAGTATGTTTTTCAGCTTGATGAATTTCTTTTCTTTCATAAGAGTTTGTTTGACCAGGGTCCGTGTTTTGCGGTACACCGTGCACGATTATATTTCTTCCGCAGAAAAACTCGCGAGACTCTTTAGGGATGTTACGAATGAGATCGCGCTCAGAATACGGTACGTCAGGCAGTATTCTTACTCCCCAATAGGGTTTCACTAAGCGACTAGCTAGCAGGAAATCCTCTACGTCGGTATCATTCTTGAGTGTTACACGAAGTGTTTCGGGTGATTTCCTCGAGTAAGCCGTGTGAATGTCAAAGGCTCTATTCTAGGAAGTTCAAGCCTCTTGTTTATTTCTCCGCAGAGCATCCCGTCATTTATGTCTTGCAAATTGAGGGAAAGGTCAGGGTTGTCTTCAAGGTTCATGATTATGAGAGAGTCATCACAAACCGTTATTGTTTTCCCAGGTTTTCCGGTGCATTCAGGTTCAGCATGTTGTTGTTTGGAGGTCGAAGCGCGTTTCTGATTTCTGGGCTTTTTGTTGACCGGACGGACATTCTCGGGGTTAGACTATGCGGCCAAGTCACCAGCTGACTTCCGTAAAATACTCGGGATGTTCAGCTTAGACGGTGACGCCTGTTCCTTTTTTACTCTGTTAACGTGGGTACATTCACCTACAGAGTTTCGGGGAACAACCGTTGCATTCAAGGACCCTGTGTTGCGAGACTCAGGTGTGCTGAGGGAGTCTATTACTATCAACATTATGATGGTGCTGGGTTTCAGGATGTCATCACTAGTGCTATTATATGCTTCATCGATAGTAGACCTGTCGACATCCCTCTTCTTGTTTTCATTGCGTTACCTTATTTGTCTACCCGTCTTATGACTGTCTTTTTCCAAGTTTGCTGATAACTTATTCCAGAGACCCGTCAATAGGTTAATGATGTTACTCACCAAAACTACAGCATTCGTGCTGCACATGGCACATCTACACATGATCCGACATGCTGAGTCTGTTGTAAGCAGTTGCTGTGAGATCCGTTCACGCTTCATGGAACCAACCTTTGCAGTTGTCGCACTACATGCCAGATGTAACAGAAAAATGGAATCCAGGCCGTTTGCATAAATTTTTCATGACTACATCGAGGTAAACCGTTTTATAAATGCTAGAAAAAGCCCAGGATCGTTAAGAAAATACAGTACATAAAAAATGGGCAAAAATAGATAATTATCAGAAGGGGTTTCGTGGAAATTTAGTATGTTTCATGGTTGAAAGCGTAAGTCAATTGAAGCTAGACCACTATGGAAAACCTGGAAACACTGGACGGCCGGTTAGTCCTATTCTAGGACTCCTCAGCAGTGCGCATCCACGAACCCGCACTCGCGAGATTCGAACCCAGGACCTGCCAGTCTCGAGCCAGAGCCCTTAACCGATAGACCACTGAGATGGCATCCAACAGTGTTAATGTCTAACTTCAACTGATCCACGAAGTTGAGCAACCATTCACAAACTGTCTTCAATGAGTTCCTATCTCACGACACGTGGTTTGAACTCCACTGGTCACTGCTTCTCACTAGAGCTCCTGGATGTACTTCTCGAAGTCACTAGTGAGCATATGGTTATGTTAATTATCAGTAGTCAAATGCTGGAATTCGCTGCCCGCTAAGCTAGTCCAATCAACTTCTTAGAAGTCCTTTAGGAGAAAATTTGACATATACTTAAGGACTAAGAATAGTATATTGCTGTCATTCACTACCATTTTGAAACGGTCGGACAGATGTTCATTGCTCATTACCAACTACCCAGATCCGTTCCGAAACTACTAGAAGTAAAAGTAAAGGATTTAGTTGTTTTATATAGACTTGGCACTATGATATTGGATATTGTCACCCATCATCTATTAGGCGTTGAATAGCGGGCTCTTAGTTTTCAGACAGTTGAAGGCCGCGCAAAAGCTCCGAAATCAGTATGCTTTTACTCGATAAAGTTGTGTTTTAAGTTGGGGTACAAATCATGTCTATATATTAAGGACCTTTACGTCAGGTTGTAGAACATTGAAACACATTCAGACGACCCACAATCGTGGTATTTCTCGACCTTAAGGAGGCATTTGACTCCGTTCTGTGGCAGTGTTTGTCACTATAAGGAGTATCAAAGAAGTACATTAACCTCATAAAGACTCTCTTTCCACAACTGGTCGAGTTAGAGCTTCTGGCGAACTGTCATCAGAATTGATTACCTCAAGTGGTGCACACCACGAACGTTCGTCAGGGCTGTCAACTTTCTCCATTCTTCTTTGTCATTGACATGCTTTTAGAGATAACACTTTCATCATCTAAATCTCCAGGAGTTGAACTTTTACCGAGAGATTCACTTGTTGACTTAGAATACGCCGATGACATAATTCTATTTGGTGAAGACGCTGACAAAACGCAGAGTCTCCAGACCACTATAAACAACAATGCAGGTGTGTTCGGGATGCGATTCTCCTACTCAAAATGCAAAATGTTACTTCGGGATTGGGTTGCATCGACACCCGAACTAATGATAGGGAGTGAAATAGTTGAATGTGTTGACCGCTTCATTTATCTTGGGAGTCTCATCAGCCCTTGTGGTCTGATGTGTGACGAAATCTCAGCACGGATACAGAAGGCTTGTCTAGCTTTTGTCAACTCGCGTCATTTGTGGCGTAGGCGAGATATCCGTCTAGCAATCAAAGGACGGGTTTACTGCGCAGCCGTTCGCTCTGTTTTACTTTATGGCTGTGAAACATGGCCGGTAAGAGAAGAGAATATTCGTAGGCTACTAGTGTTCGATCATAGGTGTCTTCGAAGCATTGCTCTTATATTTTGTGACCACCGAGTGAGTAATGTGGTTGTTAGGAAACGGGTACTAGGTAAGGATGGCAAATCAATTGATGATAGCAACCGACGGTTAGAGACCTTGAATGACATGATTTAAAATCGTTTGCAATGGCAAAGGTGCATCCTATCTTAGTGTCCTCCCAAATTCTAATCTGAATTCCTCATGTCTTTTTTTCCTCTCCCCAAATTTATTTCACTGGATTATACTCTTTGAATAACATCTTCGAACCCTAATCTTCGGGATTACTGCTTATACTCTTGCTACTTCTACCACTATGGGATTCGGATCGAAAACTGCATCTCTGTGTTAATGTTGTATGGCAACTCGAACTGATGTACGTACGTGTGAAGTTCTAAGTTGAGACTGACTGACCTCCACAACAGTTGAGCCCCCTTTCTTTCCGAAGTTGGTTTGACTTAAGCTTGGACTTCCGATGTTGGAGGAAACGATACATGTTTCATTTCTTATGGGGCGCTGTGTAATTCCTCTACCGACATATACACTAACATTTTTTCCTTGCTTTTAAAAAACTAACTGCACTTGAACTGCTCCTGTTAAATGTATCAAACTCAAGAAAGCTTACAATATATTTACAAATAATCGCGATTATCATGGTAGTCTGATTCTTTTTAGAGACTCCTTGGGAAGCTGTAGTCCTTCATAGGAGTCTGTTACACTCTTGCTTAACACTACATCGGTGTGGTTATTATTATGTTACGTGACTAAACAAATTCTTTACATAAAGCCGCTTTGTCAGTGTTTTTTCTGTGACGTCGTTATGTTGGCATGACTACTTGGTCGAGGTCCGAGTGATCATCGTCGGAGATTCTAGGTGACATGGCTCAGAATCGATCACAATGGCGCAGGTGTATACACTATTTATCTTTCCTTAAACCTTGAGATTAAAATTGCTTCATAACTTTCTTCCTAGACTATATCCTTATATACAACCTATCTTTTATATACTACCACCACTAAATTAACTACTTCTATAAATCCGGTGTTCATCTTATTGTGCTAACGAGGTATGGCAACTTGGACCGATGCATAAATGTGCCTGGTCCTACGTTGTAGCTGACTGACTGAATGGCATGTTTATCAATGTAAAAATTGTGTTGAAATTTCAAAATTATTCATTAGGTGGTAAAAATAAGCTTATTTATTGAGCTCCCCCAATATGACGGTTTCGGTTGTAGGATTAAAACGTCTATATGTAATGTAAAAACTGCATACAAACCAGCTTTATTTTTTGGCCGTGAGTTTTCGGTTTGGTCTCTCTTTATGCTTGCTGGCTCGTGTGAAATTTTAAGGTTTGTAAAACATTAACAGTAACGATTTCGAATAGTTACACTTATCCTAAGAATCTGTTATAAACATATACGCAACTTGACTTGTACGGATAAAGAACCGCAGGTTCCCGAACTTCCTGGTTTAGAAATTATCATAGTATTGTCAACAGGTCCTCAAAACCAGTCACATGTTTAAGCTTAATTTTCTCGCTTCATGCCAACATAAAGTTAATTATTGTTTGGAAAAGTTATTTACAAAGCTTGTACACTATCCTCCAGCTAAATTCTACAAGAGATTCAGTAGGTTCTTTGAAGTTTTTGCAATAACAAATCGTGTTCACTAAGCTCCTCACTATGAACACGATGGTTTGAAGTATTCGTAGTTAAGCGGCGTAATGCACTACTCGGTGAGACTATAATTTATGAACGATGATGAAGTGACCTTGAGAAAGATCCACCTTTTTTAGGGCTAAGGGGAAGTTATAAACTAGTGTAAAAAGTTAGGGTTTAGGGTTAAAAGTTATGCTTAGGAATTAAAGTTGGGGTCCTCATCGTGAACTAACACCAACTGTAATGCCAAAATGCTATATAACCATATGAATAGATGAATTTTTGCGCCAAAATCCAAACTTGCTATCAATAATTTCATTGGTTCGTCCATCAGTTATAGTCTCTCCTATTGCTGAGTAGTAGCTCAAATTATTTTCTAATATGAGTGTTTTGTGTTCAGGTTACTTGGTGCCCTAAGTTTGTTTTCCTGATTAAGACACAATCTATCATTTACATCCCTACTGCGAATAATATTTGTTTTCAGAATGAATTTTTGTTTAAAACTTCACCATAGTAGCTTTCCATAACTTCTTTCTGGTTCTTGTTATCTATAAATTGGGAATAATCCACATTGGGACAATGCGCCGGGAGGTCCTCGGTGCTTGTTCTCACGGAAGAACAGCTAGACGTGGTGACCTCCTGCCTCCCCAAAGTGAGTCCCGAATGTTATCAAAGGCGCCTGTTTTTGCATCATATAAAACATTGTTCTTCACTTGTCTCAGCTGAAGAGTACTAAAGGTCGTCTAGCTTAAGCTAGTCCTTGGTTTAATCCTCAGTTTCTGAATTTATTTACCTACCTATCATTCTTCGAACCATAACAGATGAGTCCCAACACTTCATTGTGATTCAATATCCTATTTAAATGGCACGAAACTCTTGTTTTTATGAAATTCCTACCTCTTTGGTTGTTTTCATGTTTTAAGTAACGGATGCCAAGTATATGTAATTGTTTTAAATTGTAAATCACTACATGTCCGAATTGGCGACTTAGTAATTAAAGTATTCAGATTTTTGTATTAGTATTTCTAGTGTGAAAACGCAGCTTTTGACTTATGATATTATCCAGTTATTAAATCAGAACTCAGTGACCGTATTCTTTTAACCTCAACCAATCTCGTTTCTTTTTTAGATTCCTAGAAAAAGGAATATTAATTTACTATGTGATTGGATGGTTGTAGAACCCTACATACACTAGCATTATTCTAGTTTACCAGTGATTTTTTTCCTACATTATATGCTCGTCATAGACTCTTCTTCCATAACCATCTTTCTCATGTTCAACTAGTAGTAAATATTCCGGTTTGTCAGGTGTCATAGAGCTGTTTTATTAATTTCAAATTTTAGTTTCCGACGTCCGAACCCAATATCAAGTCAAGCGAAAGACTTCATTAGACAAGATTATAGAGTCATCTACCATAAATGTCTGCTGTATCTATAAATCCCTCATTCAAAACCGAGTGTGGTTATTCACCTAGAACTAAGTGTCTGACGTGGCAATTAAACGTCGTCTTTGCGTATCTGCAGATTCGTTAGCTACTTTAAGTGTACACTTATTATAGGTACAGAATTAATTTCTTGAGTAGGAAGTTAGGAAAATAAAAATAAATCCCTTATTCTGTCACTGATTATTCCCTGACTGGGGCGAAATACCAGTTATACTGGAAGCTTTTCGAACTCTAAAATGCTAAACACTCAGTTAAAACAGTTTTAACGTACGATTTTATCGTCCAAGTAGGTGAGCTAAATTAAGCAGAAAAGCTTTCGCATGGAAGTTGTCTCAGTTCAACCAACGTAATGGCGATAGTCTAAGTTATAGTTGGACAACCTTTTGTTTCCTACCGGTACTACTTTTAAATATGGTGGTTGACATTCAGCCTGTTAACTCGCCACATAATGTCGATGGATATAAGTAAACCGTATTGTTATCGGTTGTCTTTCAAAAGAGTTGGTAGGCAATTACCACTTTTTCTTAAGTGGATAATCCAGAAATGCGAGTGCAAGTACCCACCTGTCTCTCTTACCAATCGCTGGTAAATTCCAACAGTAATTGCCCAAGGGTGTGCTTAAAAAATGAATTGCAAGACATTTAATTGTCCATAAGTAGGTTATTCAATCCGAAATGCCCTATCACGGTCTACAGTAAAAATATAATTCTGTCTACTGACGACTTAAATGAAATGACCAGGATTGACTAATGGGTACCGTAATGTCTATATTAAATTAGCGTGCGTTTCTAAACTCATCTTCACACTCTTTAAAAACGATATGTAACCAAGGCATTTAACTGTTAACACGTATACGTAATCATGAGCAGTAATGTGCATCGAAACATAGCTTTTAACAAAATGCATTAGACACTTTTTCAAAATCACAGAAAAATAGTTAGTGAAACTCCTTGGAAAAATCGAAACTGTAATTCAGCATCAGACCTGGTGACTAGAACGATGACGTTTGTAGTGTACAGAACTTCGCTCTGTCCTAGCTTATAATTGTTCAAACTCATAGTCCTTTGCAGGTATTCTGTCATAGATGTATTTTAATCTTTTGTTGACGCTTATCAGAATCGCGGATTAATGTGGTTAGAGGCCGGTCACAATGATAGAAATGCATTCACCTTATTTTCATTTCATTTTAGAATATCGTGTTTACCCAAATACCTTCCACTTTTACTGATATTTGTACGAGGTCTTACGTAATTGTGTCGATCATTGAGTTTGACATCTGACTTTTAACTAGTGCTTCATATATTCAAACGTGGCTGCTTATCACAAATAGTGAGACAGTATCAGTTAATATAGTAAGTGTGATTGACTACATAGTACATCAACTTATCCGTGGTTGCTGATTTATATTTATTTTATTATGCCTTATAAAACGCTTGAGTTGGTTAGTGAATTTTTTTGCAAATTAAAGTAGGTGGTGTTTTTAAATACATAGCGTGCGCCGCAACCCTCAAAGCTAGTCCAAATTATTATTTATTCATTTCTTTGAACACATAAATATTGGTACAAAGGAGTACCGAATAAATATGTGCCACACAGGTCACTTGATTTGTGTGTGGGCTATAATACTGTCCGGGTGCCCAAACCGATGCAGGTGGTTTTCTCAGGGAGCCACCCGGAACCGTCGACCTAAAGGTATGATCCACAAGACTGGAGAAAAAGTCAGGAGGTGCAATCCCATGGCATCCGGTGACCAACGATTGGTTCATACGCCACTTGTTCCTTCTAGATCCTGGAGCTCATTCGCACTATTAGTTTGGAACAAGGTTTTTTCACTTCCACTAGGTGGACATCCCTTGTTCACCGATGCGGTTAAGGCTCTAGACATTCGCTTTTCGTCCTCTCAACTTTGTGAACATTTTCCCACCACAAGAAGGCAGTTAGAAGGACTTCCCTGGGAGTGGCTTTATACGCGTGGCTATGTGAGAGCATTTCGAGAGGGAGAGCGGACTCTCCCCACTCTCGGCCGTACCAGGGCTAATCCAAATACCATATGTTGAAACCACCAAGTAAGCTACTCAGTAGTAAGGATCAAAGTTATTGGGAAGAAAGGTGGGTTGGTTGATGTATGTTCGAACCTGCAGCACCTGAAAATAACTAAAACATGTGTTACGCATTGATAGTTAGATTCGACCACGAACTACAGTTATCGTTGAAACGGAACTACTTCCTTGAAAACTTAAGGTGGCTGAACGAAATGATATTACATGCAATTTCCCCCATTTATAAATGAAAATAAAGCAAAAAAATAATGATCGTAGAAGAGTAATATGAATTAGTTTATTTAATGAATTCTCATCAGCAGCCCATCCTCAATAGCAGTGTTGATCATTGTCAAATAAGTATATTTACTTTATATCAGGAAAGCCAATCTAAGTTGATCTTGACATATAGATGTAACTTAACAATAAACAGTTGTGAAGAGACTAAAAATTTGTTCAAACAGTCGTTTGTTCGCAGAATAAACATACTTGAAGGAGTAAATTGTAAAGAGCATTGAGACAAAAGTTGTAGGAATATGGGATTAACGTCTTTTTTAAAGCCCAGACAATAATCAAGAAGTGAATTAATTGTCATAACTAAGGTCGTAAAAGGCGTTGTGTGACAAATACCTAAAACCGATGGTGTGTAGACGAAGCAAGGTCAATAACAATGTCTTTTTATATGCATGAATGGGGCTTAAACCTTTCTTTTAGCAACTACTTCGGCAAAACCCAATAGATTCAATATAGTCTGTTTATTGACTATTTTAAAGGATTTCAAACCGTCTACATCATACTGTTACATTATCAGTTTGTACATTCCTGACCTTTGTTGCTACCTCGACACAGTGGACCGGTCTGGTCTTTGTGACTACCTGATTGCGATGTTTCGTTTGGATCATATTTCTTGAGGTTTCCTCATTTCGGTGGGTCATTTCGAAAACAACAGGACCAAAAACGGTTCGAATTTCAAAAATAATATGTCAGGTTCTACGTTTTTATTGACTAATTGAATGAGTTAAATCATCTACTGCATTGTAGTCGTAGTAGTGATTCCCACAGATAGTCAGCATATCTAGTGACCGTTGCTTCTAACTAATGTCAGATCGAAAATAATAGTTTCTTACTTCACAGAACTACAGTCCTGTTGGTAAGATTTAAAAAGGATGAAGCTAACACAACATGCGACTGGGCTCAAGTAGTTGCATTTCTAACTAATCGGTCACACTTCCGGGTCGAAAACTTCATCGTTACTAGTCCAATTTATTAGGTCTGTGATGAAGAAATTCTGTTTCACATTATAAGCAACAGCAATGTGTAAACCAAGAAAGCTCATTCCACATACCAGCAGCTGTTGTTTTGAGGCAAGACATCTCAAGAATGAAGCCTCAGACACGTACGTTGGTCCACGTGGCCACACTGGATTGGCATAGCGAAATGAAAATAACAAAAGAGATTAAAATCGTGTCGTAGTAATGGTAAGAAGAAAGACTTAATCTTAGGAATATGGTTTAAAAAGATAGTGGAAAGGTATGTACGGAGAGATACTGGAGTACAATATCGAGAAGATAAAGAATGAGTGCATCTGAACCACTGTGGACTATTCCAAGTTGTGTCACTTAGGGGCTCTCAAGCCTGGTCTTGGTTATCACGTGGACCTCATCCAGATAGTTGGATTCTACTAACATGGGTCAGAGCAACAGTCAGTGACTATATGGATCTATGTCATGTCTTGGTTTGACCACCCATAGTTTCCTTGACACATACTTCTACACAAGCTCGTCGGGGTGGGTGGTGGTGATGTGTACGTAACACATGTTTTAAACGCCTCAGTTGATGATTTACAACCTTATTGACCAGTATACTACCTTTGACGAGTACTTTATCCGTTTGAGGTGTGTAGGAGATAGTAAACTCCCTGGGTAGAAAACTCGAGTTGATGTTAACTATCGGCTGAAAATCCCATGCAGTAAAATCTAGAAGTCAACAATGGTGTTAATACATTCCGCATCTTGTTACTCATCGTTTATCTGCTTGGGCTTCCATTTACTTAATACGGATTGGTGCACTTAACTTTGATCCCTGTTAATATGAAGACTAGTGGTACTACTCGCCTGCTGAAACGAAATTAAATGGTACAGGGTTTAAGCACGTGACCTACTGGCTAATATTAAAGTGCTTCAACCACTAAACCGCCCTTCACTACTGCTCTTTTGTAATCTCTTTGCTGATTACCTTTAGCAATGTTGTGATAAGGTTTGGTTACCTCAACCTGGCCACTTTCATGTTAGAGTCTGTGATACTATGTATCTTATTCGGAATAGTTTATTCTTAACGCTCCCCTGACATCTTCCTTGTAACAGGTCACTTATAAAGACGATTTAGTGATTGTATTTTCGCTGATTATCGCATTTTCCGTTCTATACTTTTGATGGAGCTCATTTCACGGAAGTTCAATTCTGAATACACAGTATTATCGTTCTCTCAACCATAAATTTTGTCTATTTAGTCCCCGTGCTAAAATATACTTTCATCACGTTCAATTTAGAACGAGTAATAAAATTACAAATGCTCGGTGTTTTTGATGTCGATCTGCTACCACAGGAACTTCCACATACGACTATTACATCATGCCTTTGCAGTGGTGCTGTTTTTACAGGTTCTCAGCGATCCAAGGGTAAAAAGTATAACGTGGAAGTAACAATACAAGCAAGACGATATCTTCGATAATCATGACCTTTATTCAGTATGTCGATATGAAGCAAAAAATGGTGTACGGCTTTATGAAAATTGAGAATTTGACTCAAGAATATCCAAGCCTAACTACATATTTTGAAGGAGAAATAATAAGTAGACTTCACCCGTTCATGACCGGTAAATGGGATGCAACTATGGAAACAGATGTTTTGCACTGGGTATTTGTTTTATTATTATCAATTCACTTGCAGGAAAAAATACCAGCAACAAGTTCTCTAGGGAACTTCCATATAGATAGTTTCGACTACTCTATTTTAGAGACATCCGACACGATATTTATGAGGTGGAAAGTGAGTCGTTTTTCTACTGTTAAAATTTTCCTAGGAAAAGTTCATTGTTCCGGATCCCGGTTTGAAACATATAGAAGGAGCGTCATTCGCTGGATTTTACTATATCGGACTACAGAAATCTATTGGACATGTTCTAGGTTATTACTATCACCTTAACTCAGAAATGTATGGATTTGTATTTTAACTATTTTACTTATGCTCTACTTTAGGTTTCAATCTCTCGAACTAAAATATAAACCAGAAAGCACACCGTCTATTTTTCAGTTGCGTTAAGAATGTTCATTATTACGTGTTAGCTTGTGAAATAAATTTGTTTCGACTCGATTTTTATTTATTTGCTAGACAAGATGTAACACTTCATTTCCATAATATCTACAAATGTATCTAAATGGCATTTTCTGACAAATATTACTTCAATTCACGTCTTCATGCAGCCCCTAATCACTAACAGTACCTTTATACTAATACCTCTCAATTGTACAACTTTTAGTATTTATTGAAAAATTCACTGAGTTACTTGTAAAAATATAGTTCTGCTTGATACTTATTGTTCTACTAATCAATAATGGGAATGAATACCCATCACATGTTATCCATGTTTTTAATGATAGTGTACCATGTGATTGATCGTACGAAATTATTCGAATAAACTTCTAAACATGAAGGTTTACAAATGCATCTCCCCATCATTTTGTTCCGAAAATCATCTTATGTCATCCACAGAAAGTATCGACTGTATGTTGACTTAATAGGTGATCCAGTGTGAGGTCCCTCTTTTCTCATCGAGTGGTCAATGACTGGGACACATTACTCCAACAAGTGGTATCACCCCCATCAGTGAACATTTTCCCGGAGAAGCTGGACCTTCACTGGAGGGCAGTCTGTCAGGATTAACACAGGTTCATCAACCTACTATCCTTATTACTGAAGGTCCTTCAATCAAAGTAACCCGCATAGTGAAAATTTATTTACATCAGTCGTGTGTAATGTAGGGAAGATACATTTCTGAGACATTTAACTCATGGATCCTATTAAATTATTGTTTATAGTTGAAAGGCTTCGGATTTCTTAGTTATTTCAGATAATAAACATGATGTTCAAGAATATGAACTGACTATTTTGTACGATAATTTTACAATGCAAGTCTATTCATATATGGTCTGCATGTGATACTAGATAAACATCTGACAGTTGAGTCATTCCAGTTATTTTGGTTGCTTTTGCACATACTCTGAAGATATATGAATAGTCGTACTGATTCTGTTCATTCCCTTAAATGGATTACTGTTTATCTTAACTCGTCTATGGATACTTCCGTTTTCACTGTACCGTGTATATGATTGTCGCCCGATTCTAATTCATTTCTACAAAATGTTTGTCTTACTTTCAAGCACCTCGATTGTAGAGAAATAGTTCATCCTGAAGAAGCTGGGTAAGATACACAAGCAGCAGTGTCATCTATCAATTGTTTAGATGGGAGAGTTGGTAAAAACCAGTGGATTTCAATGCCATCTACTAAATTGATAGGTAATCGAAAACTCATTCCATCAGGCTTGGAGGACGATAAAGGGCGTAAAGAACTCAAAGGTGAACTAACAAAATGTTTACTTAGTGATCGTGATGGGCAACGGAAGCAAAAGAGATGGGGAAGGTAGTAGCGTTAGGTGACACTGAAGAGCTACTCAGACTGATCAAGAAAACGCGTATCAAAATTGTTGGTGCTGGTGAAACTATTTCGGAGAAATACGGGACAATTACTCGCCCTTGATTTGGGAGACTAGGCCGGAAGATAGAACACTTTAGGAGACTGGCCTCTGATTACCATCCCGCTAGTCGCTATCTCCAAATACCATGAATTGCAAGTTGATATAAGATTGCAGGTAATCCAATATGAAGGTGAGCAGCAGGTCCTAATGGCTTGTCCCCAGAGAATCTATAAGGCTGGGAGTCCAGTTTTATCAGCTAAGTTGGTTAAGATGTTATAACATGAGCATACTTACCAACGCCTAACTGTAGATATGTTTTTTGACCATAAAGTCTCATTCAACTCTGTTGACCGAGAGATCTAGTAGAAATGGTTCTCACTGAAAGGCGTACGAAGAACGTATGTAAACCTTGTAAAGGCTCCCTGCTCGAACACTTTTGGTCGGCAGTTAGATGTTTCCTTCAGACAGCTAGTATAACAGCGATGCTGCCTTCCCATAAGGGTGAGGTTAGGAAAGATCGACCCTAAAAATGCACACCTCGCCTTATCTCATGGGTTTCCGTCTCCGGCGATAAGGTCCCAACAAGAACAGAGCTAACACAAAAAGGTCGTGTGTAACCGGCCTTGGGCCCTGCGGTCACGCTCTCTGGTTACTAAGACCACCTCTAACACACTTCCCTTTACAGGTACCTCTAGAAGAACCCTTTCACTATGTGGGCGACCGGGAAGTGATAACCTCTTCATACCTCTTAACAGCAATCAAAACCACTGCATTCATAATCAATCTCCCTCTTTGAGGCTTCTTAAGTAAATTTAGAGAATCATTGCCATACAACTCCGGATTGTATTATCTTCATAGTGCGGCTGATATTAGTTATACTTGCTCCAAGCACTAGAATAAGTATCTTGTAATGATTCTGGTGTAAAAACCACCGAATGGGTGTCTAAACTTTCAAAGGAGAGGGGAAATATAACGTTTCCACCAAATTTGGAATGAATATTCAATCGATGAATCCCAAACCCTTTCTAAACTGTTGCATGTGAAGAAAGTACCCATCAGAGTAAAACATGCTTTGCTACTTACAGTGAGTTGAGAACACTCAGTAACAAAAACAGGACGACTTAAATGTGCATATTTCTTGTGATATATGTAAAGAACATGTTCGAGTACTTTAAGCTACGAATCCCACATTGTATTAAACATAGGGATTATTAACAAGGCTGAATTTGTCCCATCAGGACAATTTGATAATGGGTTTACCATAACGAATGGAAGTACTACAGATTACGTTTTCACACCTGCCAGGATCACGTTTAAGCGGTCGTCAAAATTTAGTGTCTTTATTTGGATGAACATCGTAAAATATCAAACACCGCTCCCGCAGTATTGTGAGTTAATTTAACTGGTCTCCCTTTTTATGCTGGAGAATTGGTGACTACTTTGGTTTTCGAAAATACAGATGTTTAGACCTATTAGACAACAAAATAAACAAGTATTAATACCATTTCAGCTGCAGGAAAGATAGCAGGTCTAAACCAAGCTGTTATATTGCAACCACCTCTATGTCAAAAATACTCAAGACTCCTAAGAAATACCAAGCTACAGCAAAAAAGACGGGCCCCACCAAACCAACGTGACAAAACCCACTCTGCAACGGCAACCGAGTTCGTCAGTCAGTCAGCTACAACGTAGGACCAGGCACATTTATGCATCGGTCCAAGTTGCCATACCTCGTTAGCACAATAAGATGAACACCGGATTTATAGAAGTAGTTAATTTAGTGGTGGTAGTATATAAAAGATAGGTTGTATATAAGGATATAGTCTAGGAAGAAAGTTATGAAGCAATTTTAATCTCAAGGTTTAAGGAAAGATAAATAGTGTATACACCTGCGCCATTGTGATCGATTCTGAGTCATGTCACCTAGAATCTCCGACTATTGGTTACGATAGTCACGCCGACCCCAACCAAGTAGTATGCATCTACTAACATGGCTCAGACTAGAAGTTAGTGACTTCAAGCTCTGATGTCACGTTTTGGTTTTGCCGCCTCTAACTCTCTTCCAACCATCCCCAACACTAGTGAGCATAGCGCGTCGTGGTAATCGGTGTTCAGGCATACGTAACACGTGACCCAGCCTTCTCAGTCGATGAAGATTCATCAACTGATTTACCATCATTTCCTAATACCCTGTGTCTAACCTCACTATTACATACCCGGTGATCCCAGAAGATGCGAGCAATACTTCTAAGGCATCTGTGGTCAAATACTAGTAACTTACGAGTATTTTTTACTCTTTATGGCCATGTTTCACAGCCGTAAAGTAGAACAAAAAGAACTACTGCGCAGTACACTCGTCCCTTAATTGATAGACGGATATCTCGTCTTCGCCATAGGTGACGTAAATGGCGAAATCGAAAAGAGCTTTCGGAATCCATGCTGAGATTTCGTCAAACACCAACCCATTAGGGCTGATCAGACTTCCAAGATAAGTGAAGTTGTCGACGCGTTCGATTACTTCACTCCCTATCCTTAGTTCAGGTGTTGTCCCAGACCAATCCTGGAGTAACAATTTACATTTAGAGGGGGAGAAACGCATCCCAAACATCCTGTCATAATTACTCAGTTCTAACAGACTGCTTTTTGTCAGCGTCTTCACCAAACAGGACTGTTATCTGAGTATTCCAAGTCGATAAGTGGACCTTCTGGTAAGAGATCGATTCTTGTAAATTCAGTCGACGAAAGTGTTATTTCCAGCAACAGGTCTATAATGAAGTTAAACAAAAATGGGGATAGTGGACAGCCTCGTCGGACACCACTTGAGGTTGTAAAATCATATGACAGTTTGCCATAAGCTCTCACTCGACTGGTAGTGTTCGAGTAAAGAGCCTTCACGAGGTTTATGTACTTCTGAAGCACACCTTTCAATGACAGACACTGCCACAGAACCTCTCGGTCTACAGAGTCAAATGCTGCTTTTAAGTCAAGAAAAACTATCATTGACGCCGATAAGCTTGCCTGTGTTCTAAAAACTTACGAATTGTGAATATGTGGTCGATGCAGCCAAGACCAGGTCTGATTTTCTTGTGCTTGCAGTTCATGAGCTTTAGTTAGGCGCCCGATAATTAATGAGACCTGTGGAGCCAATCCATCAGCACCAGCTGCTCTTCCTCGTTTCACATTAGTTATTGCCTTTTGAACTTCGATTTTCCGGAAATAATGGGTAGATGTGCAGTAGCTGAAGGCAACCGAGTTGATAGACGCCATGTGACGGAAGCAAACCCAACCTCGATACAATACATGCTATCGCATAACGAACGGCTTTCACGCAAGACAACCACCAAGTGAATTGCGTACGCCACATTCCTGCTGCGAACCGGCAACAGCGAAAACATGCGTGAGGTGCAACTTGTTTTGGATGTCAAGACCCCATATTTCTTGAACGATTAAGCACTGCCGTAGAGAACATGTTTAACATTCACTATACCCTATTTATAAATTTGCAACATAAGGCTATAACCGGTACCCTCAATAGACTTCAAAAAACATTCACTCAGAAAGATCACGAAGCGTTAAGAAGATAGAATAGTGGTAGAATAGACCCACTAAAAATATACAAAATAGTCAAACTACCATACATAGAGCTAGATAAATACACTCATCTTATCACGACAGAGTGAAACTATGTTAACGAATTACCTCACCCTGCAAAGTACACAACTGAATACTTTTCCCTTAGTATATTCGCAATAAATGTCAGACTATAGCCAAGCAGTCATAACGATAGTCCACTACATCAACCTAGCTCCAAGTAACAGCGTCGCCTGTGTCTTATCCGATGGACCTGAACTGTCCACAAAACTATTAAGTTGATGTTTCAATGATGAGCTTAACTACCCTATGAAAAAGGGTGAGGTTATAATCCCATCAAACGGAAACAATTTTTTAAAAGTCTGAATTCCGAACTAAGTTTATTGCAAATTAGTGAGCAAGGCGTCTTGCTCGTATTCGCTTATCGCGCTCTTCAATAATAGACAATCTGATACCCCTGTTTTTCGGTAGAGAAATCCATGGTTTGTTTGACTTTCCAATGATGAAGATATTGTTTAGGCGAGTGACGAACTGATGTCCTGTGCTATCGCGCACGTGAACCATTTCAACAGAACCAGGATGACGTTCCCATTGAGTAATAGTTCCAACTCGTCCCAAGTTACGTCCACCCGTAACCATACACATGTTGCCTACAAAACCATTAAGCTTAATATGTCCTTACCTGGTTCAAATTTAATATGGTTTAGAACTTTTCCCGTAGCGATGTCCACCTGGATTGTGTCATTAGGCTTGATATTTGGATCTGGATATCGAATGGTTCTGGCGTCATGGGTCACAATGTATGGTACTCCTCCGTGGCCGACAAGGACTTTCTTTACTTTACAGAGTTTATACTTAGCCTCATCAGGATGGATGCGTTGAATAGCAAACCTGCCTTTGGTGTCGTAAATAAGGCGAAAGTGCTCGTTTGTTTTTTCTATGGTGATAACATCCATGAATCCCGCAGGATACTTCTTATCAGTGCGCACTCTCCCATCAACTTTAACCAGACGTTGGGCCAATATCTTCGTGCATTCTGTATAAGTAAGTGCATATTTCAGACGATTTCGTAAGAATATACAGAGTGGTAGACATTCTCTCAATTTGTGAGGACCTGTGCTGGGTCTTGGGGCAAAATTACCCCCCAGCTTATCCAACATCCAGTGTTTTGGGGCATTTAACCTTTTTAAATGTTTTCTGTTACCTCGTACCTATAAAATGTATTACAAATAATGAAGATGAAGTTGTAACTTACACCCATGTCGCTCCGACCTGTTTTAAACGGACTCTACTGCGCGTGGAAACAAAGTGGCGGTTCGGATGTACAATGTTTCAACAGTTTAAAGAATGAACAAATCTCAATGTTCAGGTGAACGTAAGAAATCTTATAGATGATGAAGTTCAACTCAGAGCTCTAGTTCTTTTAAAAGAAGAACAGGGTACTCAAAAATGATTATCAAGTCACTTCGTATGATGTTGAGCTTGACAGACTTTAATGCAAATAATATTACACGTAAAATATGCAATCCAAAGCCTTAGAAATGAAAGGACCTAAAACTTAAATAAAAAAACACCATTATAATTATTAGTGACTTGACGGAAAAATGAGGTTGGAATATATCGTTCTCAAGTACTTACATGTATCTCGGATGTCTATTTGGTATTCAAGTTGGTATCTCCAATTGAAGTATTCACTGAAAATTAGAACCGTGAAAGGATGCAAATAATCAAGTAATATTATGCTTGGTGGTCGCAATATGTTAAACAGATAAGTGTCTCCCAGATACCCTGCGTAACTATACGACCACAACGAAAAATACACCAATCCTATTGTTGGTTTCTGGTCTGATTCTGTAGTGGGTCAGGTGGCAAGTTTAATGGTTCACGTGTAAAGATAACTCAAAGATACAACGTTCTATAAATGACAGGTTGACATATCGTGCAGATATCGGCTTTTCAATGATCAAACTATTATTAAACTTTTCAGTGTTAGTTTGCTGTCGTTTTTAGCAGACGGTTTAGCAGAATTCTAGAGTGAACCTGTTTAACCCAGAAGACCCTGATCTACGTTTCGTTAGGTCAAAAACCGAAAACGTTGTCCAACAGAACCAGTGTGGCGAATTCAGCGCACTGTCATCTGTACGGTTATGTCTCGTTCAATAAATGAATACTGTGTTCAGTATCCCGACTAAAATTAGCTGAAAACTAAGGTTTGTCGGGAAAAGAAGCCATTTAAACAAGATCTGTAGCGGCATCGGACCGTGACTCCATGACCTTTGAAGCCGAGCATATAATTTACGAAAAGATTTATGTTCAACAATCGACGCGAAGAGAAGGTTAACGATGGAGAACTCAGTGACACTCAATTCAATTCAGTCAGGTGGTTTGACTCAGCCTTGCAGGAATGGTCGTTCTGTATAATTTGTCTTTATTCGCGTTAAATATATTATCCTGTCTTTAGCCTAAATTTATTCTTTAGGATCTCCAGATATCATGTTGTTAATCGTTACGATACGATGAGTCGGTGTATACAATGATGCGACTTCCACGTGAGGTCTTATGGATTAGGAAGTTACATCAAAACATATCTGCAATTTTAGGGATAGGTCTGTAATAATAATACTAATAACAAAGTAGACTGTAACTCCACAGACCTCCTCACTCTTGTTCATTTAGAAAAAGGTCAGACGTTGTTAAAAGTGGGATCCCACCCCAGCTAAGTCGGTCTGGCATCCTGAAGTAATAACACAAATATTTCACAGAATCCCTGTCTTGGTACAGCCAAACAACCAACGTGTCTGCAGCCAACTTCCCCCCCCATAGTTTTTTACTTATAAATATGGAAGAACTTTATCACAACTATCACCGAAGTGTATGACTTATTTCTGGCAACCAGGTTATATGAAACATAAGCGATCCTGAATAATTTTACTGAGCCTTAAGTGCCCAGGGATTTATACTATTCACTCGGATAAGATTGGCAATTGCAGTCGCCAACACTAAACTACTGGATATTTGAACATTCATCATGTCCAAGGCGTCTATATATATATATATATATATATACTGCTGTCCATATACGTCAGACGGTTTCCAGAGAGTTTCATTTTCCCACTTTACAGTTGTATAACTTTTGGGCGCGATCAATTTCTTCTTCATTTTTCGCCCTTAAGTCTCATACGGTTGCGGCTGAGATCACAGACTTGATGGTCAAACTAAAAGTTGTTAGCACATATGGACTTTCAAGTGGATTATTTCAAAGTCCTAACTCCTACATTTCCCTCAATAATTTGTCAAGAATAAATCAATTTAAATATTCCTCCACCAGTCACCTATATGCTAAGTGTTGGAACCCCCGTCTCTTTGATACCAACACGTTCCCATTCCAAACTCTGAGTAATGCGAATAATGATGGCCTGATAATCACTAGTAGAACAACAGTTGGGAGTAACAACAGATTATAGGGAAATGTGTCGCCAGGTGATATGAGTGCTAGTTTTCTAATGAATATCCCGGGTAACAATCCTTTTAACTCTATCCACAAACCGTTGTCCTTCATTACACACGATAAGAAATTTCGGTTGACCAAATAAGACTAGACAGTTAAAAAAAGTCGTGTGAATTTTAGAAACCTAAGTAGTTACAGGGCTCACTTTGAATTTATCATATATACTCCATAAATGAATTCGTTTGGTGACTTTTCAGGACTTTATCCCTACATCGCTGTCATCCCTAACCAACACTTATTGTTCAAAGCCACATGCTGATCACTGGACCCATAGCTGTAATTCATGTGACATCACTTTTACTTGAATCGACGTCTGTCCTCCACACCACCCCAGTGGTTCGAGGGTTGTGGCCCAGTAGAGGCCTGAGTTTCTTTGAGAAAATTTTGTACCACAAATTAATCTGGAATAGGTCCCTAATGGGAAACAACTACCGGGAACAATTGGTTTCCCAGTCAGCCCATTCGTTGTGACTGTTTCGAAATCTATATGTCGCTCCAGTATTTCAGATAGCATCAGCTGACCCGTACATTACGACCATGTTTGTAATAACCTGCATTGAATGGAAGCCGAAGCATTGTGTTTTACTATAGTTCTCTCCTTTGGCAACAGATATAAAACAAATGATTTAAAAGAGCCCATTTATAGTGTACAAACTTAAAGGTGCTACTGACTGTTATACTCCAAGTCCTATCAACCACAGAGAAAAACTGCCTAATAAGTGAACAGAACTGAAAACAACAAAACATCTGGGGTTATCAGCAGTATCGATATAAAACGAAAACTGGTGACATTCAGTCCTTATTTAAATCAATATCCGTTTGCATTTACTCTTTGCGTTGCAACTCTAACAGTAGCGTTAAATGTTGTACTAGGAGGAAATGACGACGAGACTATAATTTATGAACGAGCTAATCAGATATAAGGTAACAGGTCATACAACTTGGCGCGAAATCCAGCCATCCGTTTGGTTAAATAGCGTTCTGGTATTTTAGCTGGTGTCAGCTCATGATGAAAACCCTAAATCTAATTCCTCAAGCTAACCATTAACTGCAAATCATAACTCAAGATCCTCACACCGGTTTACAACCCTCATTTAGTCCTAGTTAGTAGGTGGACATGCTCGAGGTCACTTCAGCGTCGCCCGAAATTCTTCCATAAATTATGGTCTCCCCAAGTAACTATGTAATTCATAACACAAACTAATATTTTGAACTTTACTTTTTACTGTATGAGAAGGGTTATAAAAGGCTGAATTGGTTTCATCGTGCTTGTGTTGATGGATAAACTGGTGCACCTCTAATTATGATGGTCCAGACAGTGTGCCTCTTTTACGAAAACCGCTTACCCAGTCTACATTTTTCCGTTTATCTGGGTATCTGTACAGCTCCTTTAACGTAAGTTCTCAACGCTAGAACAACTAACAGTACACATGTAGTGTTCAGAATTCTGGGAAAAACAGTGGATGAAAACGTCCTTAGACACATGTATTGGGGTAACTTAGTCACATCTATTCCGCCTGGTGTCCTCTGACGTACGCGTCACGCTAATTGTGCATTTTTATACCATTTGTAGAGATTACGTGCTATTTTTTCAAGCCAGAAAGATTTAAGGGCACGATAAGGTCAAACGATTAGTAACTCTATGACCGCTAAGAACTTACAAACGGGAGACAGTTACATGTCTACCGAACCTATCTTTGGCTTTGAACTAGACAAATACTAAATGTCGTGCCGTAATACCAACTTGCTCAACCTTGTGCACTCTTCATTACACTCATTGTTTGATTTGAATTTGTCTTACAAGAAGTTGGTTGGAGTTCACGTTTATCCAGACAAATTAGATTAGATTTTATCTAGCGATTTGTATCAGCCTCATTACTTCTCTGAGCTGTTGTGCATTGTTTAGTAAATTTCGGTACATAAGTTATTGTCACCACTAGTTACAGTGCGAAACCAATAGGAGCGTCTCCTCAATATCAGCCTCCTAGTTTGAAACTTGCTGGTAAACGACATTGCAGTATCAATACAACCTCACTTTATAATCTGTTCTTCAAGTCGCCACTTAACAAAGGACAGTTAAGTAAACAGCTGTTTTTAGTTATTTATAACTGTGAGAAATGAACATGAAATAGGAAGAAACTAAGACTTACATGACACAGTAACGAAGAAATAAACTGATACAGGTACAGGGTTATGTAATAGTGGTCAAAATAAGGCAGTAATACTCAAGTTACGAACGGTTTAGATAATATTATATGCTAATCCGTTGTCATTATCCCTTATTAGGGATGAGTTTCCACATGACCGTTGTATTTATTATAATTTCTGTAAACAGGTTTTCAATGTTAAAAACAATATGCGCGAAACTTTACTGGGTTCCACTTTATTCGTAGAGAATTCTCTCTCATAGCTCTAAGACCTAAACATCTTTCGAAATATACTCAGTTCCTTAACTAATATTTTAATATCAGTGACCTCCGTCGTCGGCATTACACTTGAGACCCGTGATCCCCATAGTATTTAAACCATAAAAGTGTTGCTTGGAATCTAAATCTCTCTTTATTCCTTTTCCCTCATGAATAATAGCATGATCTCAACTTTGTCATACACAATCCCTTATTTAGTGAACTTGTGGTGTCTGAAAGCGATTATCTTTACAGTAGACGGCTTCGATAAAATATTTTATTCTTCTGAGGCGAATGTCTATAGCGTCACCGCGGTGAAATGCCCTGGTGCTCCCACCAGGAGCTTTTCTTGAGGGGCTCCTTTATTAAATATACTCTTGTATATGATAAGGAATCGGTGAATGATCTTTTTACAACCGTCTC